TATTTTTCTTTTCAATTATGCCCTAACTTATTACTCCACAATTTTATTTTACCCTTTACCTTTTTTTCTATTTTAGCTCCAAATCTCCAATCTATAACCTACTTTGCTTTTTTCCAAAACTTCTGACACCAACGTTAAAGGTGTTTTGCCGCCTTCTGTTTTATTTTTTCTCCTAATTTGCTTTTAACTCAATTCTAATTAGCTGTGCTCTTTTGTTTTGCCTTCTTCTGTCTCGCTCCTTTGTTATGCTTTCTTAAGGTGTTTTGCCTTCTTCTGTTTTATTTTTTAAAATTATTTTTATGAATATTTTTATTAAATTTAATATTTAAACAATTGAGGGTATTTTAGTCAACTTATTAGTTACAGTACAGTACGATACAGTCAAACCAAACAGCAAAATATTATTTAACAATAACAAATGATACAATCTATCCAAACATTGTATTTATAAAACAATACGATACAATACAATACAATACATTATAATAAAACGACGGGGAACAATGATCCAAACAAGTGTAAGTTCCTGAGACTCTTATGTAAACGATATTTGCAATTTAGGCTATTATAATTTTATATTATAACTTCCTTTGAATGGGCTATGAATAGGAAAAGAGCGAGGAAGAAGAAGATTTGGTGTGATCTAGACCATTTATTCAAGCAGTGGGGGATGGAATTGATAAAATTTATTACATACGCAGAGCCGTCGCACAAATTAAATAAGGAACGTACTTTCATCCATAGTTGTTCAAGTGTTGTAGAGTCGTCTTGAAAAGTTGTGACGAAAAAATCTAGGAGCCTTCTAGCCTGTGCCTATTGTAGGATGTCACAATCGTATTTATAGGTAGGCTAGGGACTATTAAGCAAATACTTTAACCCTAAGGACTTCTCTTTAAATTATAATTACTCTAGGACTCCTAATATATGGTAATTTCTTTGCATCAAAGAAACTACCATATATGCATAACTACAGAATATTATCTGATATATTATTTCCTTTGGGGAGACAAGGTAAATAATTTATTACCTTATATTTGGGCCACACTAGAAGTCTCTAGAAGAGACAGTAAATTCTAACATTCTCCCACTTGGCCCACATATTAAAATCAGATAATCCTTTATGAGAGATAAACATACAATATGGCCATAAACTTTATCACTCAACCAAAAGTTATGCAACAATCACTTTAACTAGAACATATCATTACATGAATCATGGCGGTCATGCTCTTAAACAAACAATTCCTTCCATATATTACAATGTACAATATGTTCTAACAAAGTGTCAACAACATTATGAATGAACTTAATATAAGTCATTCAGAGTCCAACATTATTGATCCAATGATCATAAAATAATACATGAAAAACCAAAAGTGTGCACTGTCATGTATATCAAAATAAACATAATGTCTAGACAAACTGTTAGAGAGTAAAACAAGACTAAATTGAGCTATTAAGCCCCATATGAGTTACATGATCCTTGAAAATATTAGCCGGCAGACCTTTAGCCATAGGATCAACAATCATCAAAGTAGTACTAACATGCTCAAAATTCACATCTTGCTTCTTCACATAGTCTCTAACCATCAAGTACTTTATGTCGATGTATTTGCTTCAGCTGCCACCCTTGTTGTTCTTAGAAAAGAACACTGCAGCTGAATTGTCACAGAAGATTCTCAATGGCCTTGAAATGGAATCGACAATCCTAAGGCCGGAAATAAAGTTCTTCAACCATAACGCCTGTGATGCAGCTTCATAGCATGCTATAAATTCAGCTTCCATAGTGGATGTTGCAACAATTGTCTACTTGACACTTCTCCAAGACACAGCACCTCCAGCAAGAAGGAAAATGTATCCTGAAGTAGATTACTGGTATCTTTGCATCCACCCAAATCAGAGTCTGAATATCCAATCACTTTCAATGAGTCAGAGTATCTGTATGTGAACTTAAAATTCTTGGTTCCTTGCAAATATCTCAAAGTCCTTTTACCAGCTTTGCAATGGTCAAGACTAGGGTTACTTTGATATCTGCCAAGCATTCCTACCCCAAAAGCAATATCAGGTCTAGTATAGACCTGTGTATACATAAGGCTCCCAACAAGCGAAGCATAGGGAATGTCTTTAATTTGCACCTTTTCCAACGCATTTTGTGGACATTGATTCAATGAGAATTTGTCAACTTTAATTATGGATGCTGTTATAGGTGAACAGTTCTTCATCCTGAATCTTTCCAGAATTCTTTCATTGTAGGCCTTTTGAGACAGCCCAAGTAATCTTTGGGATCTGTCTCTGTGAATCTCTATGCCAATGACATAAGAGGCTTCACCTATATCCTCCATCTCAAAATTCTGGATAAGGAACTATTTAGTTTCGTGCAACAACCCCAAATCACTACTTGTAAGCAAAATGTCATCCACATATAGGACTAGAAAAACGTATTTGCTCCCACGTATCTTAAGGTATATACACGATCAATGATGTTCTCTGTAAATCCAAATGAAGAAACAACATTATGAACTTTAATATACCATTGACGGGAAGCCTACTTTAGCCCATAAATGGATTTATTCAACTTGCAAACAAGGTGACTTTTGTCCTTATCACAAAATCCTTCAGGCTGACACATGTATACCTCCTCTTCAAGATCTCCATTCAGGAAAGTTGTTTTCATATCCATTTGATGTAACTCTAAATTAAAATGAGCTACTAATGCCATGATTATTCTCAATGAATCCTTCTTTGATACCGGAGAGAAGGTTTCATGATAATCAATGCCTTCCCTTTGAGTAAAACCATTGGCTACAAGTCTGGATTTATATCATTCGATATTACCAGATGAGTCTCTTTTAGTTTTAAAGACCCATTTGGAACCTATAATAGAGGATCCCTTTGGTAATTCGACGAGATCCCAGACTTTATTTTTAGCCATAGATTCTAACTCTTATTTCATGGTATCATACCAAAGTGTGGAGTTTTCTCCACTCATGGCTTTTGAAAACGAGCATGGATCATCTTTAAGTCCAATATCATAATCAGACTCTTGGAGATATACAACATAGTCACTAGAAATTGCTGGTTTTCGAACTCTTGAGGATTTTCTCACTCTCACTGGTTCAGGCACTTCTTCAGTGGGTTCAAGTAAAGTGGGTTGATCTTCATGTGGCACATCAAGTGGTGGTGGCTCTTGAACTTCTTGTTGTTCAGATAATTCATGAGAATTTTTCTGAGCAACATTCAAGTTCCCAATATATAAAGATACCATAGGTGGTTCCCTTATTTCTTCCAATTCCATCCTTTGAGTCAAGCTACTCCCACTTTCTTCATACTCCTCAAGAAATTTAGCATTTCTAACCTCAACAATTTTAGTAGAATGAGAAGGACAATAAAACCTAAATCCCTTAAAGTTAACCGCATAGCCTATAAAATAACCGCTTATTGTTCTTTCATCCAATTTTTTTAGTTGTGGGTTATAAACCCTCACTTCAGTTGGACACCCCCAAACGTTTAAATGATTTAAATTAGGTTTCCATCATTTTCATAACTCGAAAGATGTCTTGGACAGCCTTGGATGGAACCCTATTTAAAATATACACAGCAATTTTTAAGGCTTCACTCCATAAGGATAAAGGTAAACTTGATCTGCTAATCATGCTTCTTACCATGTCCATTAATGTCTGGTTCCTTCTTTCTGCCACACCATTTTGTTGTGGTGTTCCTGGCATGATATATTGAGCAATTATACCTTCACTTTCAAGGAACTCAGCAAATGGACCCTTAACTTGTCCCTTATCTGTGTACCTACCATAATATTTTTCACCCCTATGAGATATTACAATTTTGATCTGAGCACCAGTTTGTTTCTCTACTTCTGTTTTGTAAACTTAAAAGCATCAAGCGCTTCTAATTTGTTAAACAGAAAATAGAGATATATATATCTTAAATAGTCATCAATAAATAAGATAAAATATCTCTCACCATTCAAGCAAGAGGTAGGAAAAGGTCCACATATGTCTATATGTATGATCTCAAGCAATTGAAAACTCCTTTTGGCACCTTTAGTTGATTTGTTGGTCTGCTTACCTTTTATGCAGTCCACACAAGTCCGAAAGTCAGAAAAATCAAGAGCTTTAGAACTCCATCATTAACCAACCTTTTGACTCTATCAATAGAGATATGTCACAATCTCTTGTGCCAAAGACTTGATGAGTTCTCATTGATAATACATCGCTTAGTGCCAATTTCTTTGCCATGCAAAGTTAAAACATTGCATTCAAATGTGGGGTCTAGCTCAAGTTTATATAAATTTCCATTCAAATTTCCAAAACCAATTACTTTATTATCTTTCAAAAGTTTCACAGAAGGATAATGAAAATTCAAATCATATCCACTAATCGATAGTCCTGAAAGAGAATTAAATTTCTAGAATAATCTGGAACATAAAAAGTATTTTCTAAATCTAAGTGAAAACCATCCTTCAAAATGAGCCTATAAGTCCCCACACCTTCCACACGTGAACGCGTCCTATTGCCAGAATATATGTATTGTTAACTTCCTATCAGCTTCCTATGAGTTAGAAAGCCCTGCATGATTTTGGCAATGTGAATTGTAGCACCAGAATCAATCCACCATGTATTATCAGAAACTTCAGTAAAATTAGATTCATAACATATAAAGGTAAAATTACCTTTCTTCTTAAGCCATTTCTTGTATTTCAGGCAATCATTGTTCCAGTGTCCCTTCTTCTTACAGAAACGATAAGCATCTTTGTCAAAGGTGCTTTTCTTCTTCATAGGAACACTTTTGCCTTTCTTTGCATTTCTCTTACTAGGGGTCACCATATTAACACTTTCAGGTGTCTCATGCTTCAACCTCTCTTCTTCTTGAACACACATGGTCAAGAGTTCATTGATTGACCATTTATCCTTATGTGTGTTACAAGAAATCTTGAACGGACCATACGCAGGAAGTGAGTTAAGAATGAAATGCACAAGAAATGATTAAGACATATCAACCTCAAGGGACTTGAGTTTAGCAGCAATGTCTCTTATCTCCATAATGTGCTCAGGCACTGTACGACTTCTATCAAAAGTCATACTTGAGAGCCTCTTCATAAGGGTGCTGGCTAAAGCCTTGTCAGAGCTTACGAATTGTTCATCAATTGCCTTCATGTAAGCTTTGACCTTATTGCTGTTAGGGATAAAACCCCTAATGCTTTGGCTGATGTGGGCTTTAATAAGCATTAAACTTAAGCGATTAGATCGCTCCCACCGCTCATAATCAGCCTTAGCCGCTGGCATACTTGATTCCGTGGGAATAGGTGGTTCATCCACACGGAGTGCCAGGTCCAGATCCGAGCACCCTAAAGTGAGAAGGACTTTCTCCTTCCATTCAGCATAGTTGTCACCAGAAAGCATTGAAATTCGAGCATTCTCATTAAAAATAGTGGTAGGAAAAGCTGTAAAAATTGCAAAATAAGGATACACATACATAAGCTATAAAGAACAATCCATCAAAAGGTGAATCGAGTAAAATACCGATTCTTAGTAAATTCTAGACCTTCCTGTGGGTAGAGGTTGCAACCCATGCATAGAATTTACTAACTTTGTTAGACTACTAAACCAAAATACATAAAAAAATTATCCGTACCTGTGGGCATAAGATAATTTTAACTTAAAGGTTTACTATCTCATTCCAATTAATCTCACCAAAATGGTTACCTCCATGTAGGGCCGGGTTACCATTTTAATAAGATAACTGGATTAAATAGATGTCATTATAATTTTAATCACTAAACTTTAATTTCTTTTATATCAAGTACTCAAGACGCCGTGGCTACTTCTAAGTACATCACATAAAAGAAAACTCAAATGACATCTCAAAATAATTAACCATAATTAATCAACTTAAACAAGATGTTGATTATAATGGGCATACTGGATATAACCATAGCATTATATAATACTCCAAGGTAAATTCTTATAACTAATATTGTAAGAACTTAAACAGTAGTATAGTCGTAAAACATAACAACAACAACAACAACAACAACAACAACAACAACAACATACCCAGTATAATCCCACAGGTGGGATTTGGGGAGGGTAATGTGTACGCAGATCTTACCCCTACCCTCGGCTCTATAGTCGTAAAACATAATTTTGTTTAAATTATGTAACTACTCCCTTTCTCACAATTTAAAGACAAAACCAAACAGACTGGTAAAATATATGAGAGGGGAACCTTCCATGCATTGAATAGAATCATGGGCTTTATAACGTACACAAACGTGATAACCAAAAGCATTTGTGATCATCATAACTATTAGTGCAACAGAGTACGGAAACTAATAGTAAGTACTAACTTGAACCAGACTCCGTTACTATAAGCATAATACATCCCATATTATTTTGGTTACCAATGAATTAAATATTCTTCTTAATTGATTAGAGAATATATATGAAACTCCATGATATTACAAATCGGCAAAGTAACGTCAGAAACGACATAACTGGCAAAAACCATTATTAGAAAAATAGTGGTCGATATTACAACAACAACAACAACTACCCAGTAAAGTTCCACATAGTGGGGTCTGGGGAGGGTAATGTGTACGCAGACCTTATCCTTGCCCCGATAGAGGCAGAGAGGCTGTTTCCGGTAGACCCTCGGCTCAGAAAGACAAAAATAAAGTAAGAAAAAAAAAACAAGAGGAGAGAAATCATTAGTAACTCCAGTGGAAATCGTAATAATAACAGAAACATAAAAACCGAAAGATGAATGACATGCAATAACAGTAACCCTAATCTAAGGCCCGGGGCTAAGACAAACAACAAGAATAGTGTGGGTCCAACATAAACTGCAAGCCATCTAAGACCAACCCTAATCCAACCCCGCCTCACCCCCGGAATGAAGTAAGGAAAGTTTTACTACCCCTATCCTACAACCCTAATGCGTGACCTCCAGGCCTTCCTATCAAGGGCCATGTCCTCGGAAATGTGCAGTCGTGCCATGTCCTGCCTGATCACCTCTCCCCAATACTTCTTAGGTCTCCCTCTACCTCTTCCCGTACCCACCACGGCTAACCTCTCACACCTCCTCACCAGTGCATCGAGGCTTCTCCTCTGCACGTGCCCGAACCATCTGAGCCTCGCTTCCCGCATCTTGTCATCCACAGGGGCGACGCCCACCTTCTTCCGAATATCTTCATTCCTAATCTTGTCTATCCTAGTGTGCCCGCACATCCACCTCAACATCCGCATCTCTGCTACTTTTATCCTCTGGATATGAGAGTTCTTAACCGGCCAACACTCTGCCCCATACAACATGGCCGGTCTAACTACAGCTCTATAAAACTTACCTTTGAGTATCGGTGGCACTTTCTTGTCACACAAGACTCCAGATGCAAGCCTCCATTTCATCCAGCCCGCCCCTATGCGGTGAGTGATGTCCTCGTCGATCTCTCCGTCCCCCTGAATCATCGACCCAAGGTACTTGAAGCTATCTCTCTTGGGGATGACCTGTGGCCCAAGCCTCACGTCCCCGCCTACATCCCTCGACTCAGCGCTAAACTTGCATTCCAGGTACTCTGTCTTAGACCTGCTCAATTTGAAACCCTTAGACTCGAGAGTCTGTCTCCAAACCTCCAATCGCTCGTTAACACCGGCCCTCGTCTCGTCAATTAGAACTATGTCGTCAGCAAATAACATACACCATGGCACCTCCCCTTGAATATGGTGTGTTAAAACATCCATCACCAAGGCAAATAAGAACGGGCTAAGCGCTGAGCCTTGGTGTAATCCCATAACAACCGGGAAATGCTNCTTACTTCGAATTTAATTTCTATTTCAGCGTTCATCTCTGATGTAAGGCGACACTCTTACGTCCGTGGTTAGATCTTATTCACTCCGAGCATCATAAGGCAAGTTATATCCTTGAGGTGATGAGCTTTTCTCCGTGGCAATAGTGATGTGGATATCACTTACGTCCGGAGTGGGCAAATTTGTGTAAAGTAATTTGAGCTTTTTGCTTATATTTTGTTTAATATCTTTATCATCGCTTGCTTGGTTATATGCTACGTATACAGTACCTATTTTGATATTAATTTTCATCCTTATTATCTTAATAAAGGATTATAAAGTGGATAACATTGTTAGATCCACTTAAACTCCAGCAGAGTTTGCAAGAAATATATAACCACCAGAAGTGGTTATGTTTTGTATATCTCATTGTAACTAAATTTTGTTAACCACCAGAAGTGGTATGTGCCTATAACCACCAGAAGTGATAATTTAGGCTTTCAATGGTTACAATTGAAGATAAGCTAGAGAAAATTTCTCTATATTACTTGCATGCCTCGATTTGCTCCTGAAGTAGCATTATCTTAAAAGAGGTTGAAGCATCACACGATTTGGTGTGATTAATGCATGTTCAGATAATTATCTTCTATTTCCTGAAGGATGAGAACTTTTGATAAATATTAATCCATTCCCCGAAGTGAATGTGACAATATTAATAAAGCTCGTAAATATGAACGCGCTTTTGATATGAATATATTACAATTCACCTCCAGAAGAGGTAATATGATTGAGAGAATATATACTCATTTTTTCGTATTTTAAATTTACTCCTGAAGAAGTAACACAATTGACATTCTCTCCTGAAGCAAGAAAATATTATGAAATTGTGTCTCTCTGTGCTTAAACAAAATAATAAGCTATTCAAAGTTATTCTTGACGCATATTTTCATTCCCTGGAGTGAATGAAGAAATACCACAACTCATGTCCTCATAGGAGCCCTTCATGCTCGGGTACCTTTGTAGAAGAGGTAGAATAACAAAGGATATAAATTTTGTTTTTGTGGCATAAAAATCATTGTCGCACGTACCCGTTGTACGTAAAATATCAAGGAAAATTTTATTAAATATCATTCCAAGGAAAAAGTATTCTTGTAGAATGCTTTCTACTACAACCACATTAATATGTTATGGTTAGTTATCGAGTTCCCCGAAGGAAATAACAACTTATGTATCTTTCCCTGAAGGATGTAATGACTATGTGGTTGCCGCTTTGATATAAAATATTCAGATGCTAATGGAGTTTCTCCTTGAAGGAGATATTTGTCACAAAGTTGGTGGTAAAAATACTGAAATTCTTAATTTCTTATATTTATAAATTTAGAATTATCTTTATATTGTTAATTTGATTATGATTTTCTCTCATGACACCAGAAGTGTCTGAGCACTATTTGGTAGTACATAATTTATCAACAACTCCTGAAGAGCTAACTGTTTGTCTAGAAGACACATGACACCAGTAGTGTCTGATAAATATTAAATTGTGGATAATAAGTGAAGGCTCTCGAAGAGTTTATGTACAAATATGTCATTCATATTATATGATTATGGTCAAAACATATGTTGTAGTAAACCTGAAGTTTACTAATACAAATGACTATCATATTGAGACTACAAATGATTGGGAGATTGAAAATCTTCATGTTTCCACAATCATAGGGGGTAAAATAATATGTATGTGAGAAGTTACCCGCCTTATTCTTTAATTTGTACTACATCATATATCACAGTAAACCAGAAGTTTACTAATACAAAAGCAGCTACAGTAAATCAGAAATTTACTTATACAAAAATAGTCACAGTAAATCAGAAGTTTACTAATGCAAAAGTTTGTGCCATAGTAAAGAAGAAGTTCACTAAGAGATAGCACATGTCATCATAAACTTGAAGTTTTCATTTGCCATTTTTAAATGAGCTATTTGAGAATTCTGATAAGCATATACTGAAGAACCAGAAGATTCTTCAAGAATTCTCTTGTGCTGCTTGTTCTCATAATAAATTGATTATACCGGCTAAAGTTGGGACTAAACCCCTGAATTCTGAAATATATAAAAGGTGAATATGGGCCCATTCACTTGTCATGTGAACCACTTATAGATGCATATATAAGATGGTTACATGTATGTTTATTGTCAACCTGCAGTTTGGCATTTGAGATTGCTTTTCTCAATTAAGAGCATAACTTTCAGATTATGAAATCAAGACAGTTCATCTTGATAATGCTGGTTTATATCCAAGCTGGTTTAGCATTGAATACCTCCTACTAATGGCTAAACTATTGCTTATGAGCACAAAGCTTCATATGTTGGTCTACGATATTATAAATTGCATACAGCAACACTTGTATGCATCAGACCAACAATATATGATAAAGTCCTCCCCTCATAATTGGTTTAGGATCAGATTTCAAATATTTTTACTTTCTTTTGATGTGTGGTATATGATTAATTTTTCTACCATAATACACAAAGATATGTTTCCCAAAGAAGATTGGAGATATATGTTAGTTTTTCTAACATTTTGGGGATGGAATAAACAACTGAAAAATATGCTATATGAATCGAATTATCATTAATATGATCCTCACTTAGAAGATAATTCAAGTCAAATGCCAAAAACATTTGCTGATCCAAAATTTAATATCATATTTCAGCTGCAAATGCTCCTATTAAAATTAAAGTCCCTGAAGGATAGAGTTTACTATACGCATGAAGCGTGGTAGACCAATCGGTTCCAAAGGTAACAATCCTTGAAAATGATAGGAGTAAATGATCAAAATGATCATAATAAGGAGCAAATAAGCTCTAGAAGAGCCCACGACATAATATTTCATGAAACTTCAGAAGAAGTTCAGGTACCTGAAAATAACGAAAGTAATGAGATCTCAACAAGTTATGTCGTTTAGGAACCGATACAAAATGACCGTCGACGATATATTTGATACAATATAGCGCACAATATTGTAAAAGATTGTGAGGATCGGACCTGTAGTCACTGAAGATGTCACGCTATTTAAATGTAAGTTATAACTTATATGACTCATTTGATTAATTCTATATGAAGATCCCTGAAGGATTTAAAATGCCTAAAGCATATAGTTCAAAGTCTCGAGAAATGTACTCGATCAGATTACAAAGGTCTTTGTAAGGTTTAAAGGAATCTGAGCGCATGTGGTATAATCGCCTCAGTGAATATTTGCTGAAAGAAGGTTATGTAAGTGATGTTATTTGTCCATGTAGTTTTTATAATGAAAATGTCATCAGAATTTGTTATACTTTCTGTTTATGTTGATGACATAAGTCTTGTTGGAACTCCAGAAGAGCTCCAAAAGGCAATTGAATATCTTAAGAAAGAATTTGAGATGAAAGATCTTGGAAAGACAAAACTTTGTCTTGGTCTGCAAATTGAACATTTAGCAAACAAGATCTTTATCCATCAATCTGCCTATACAGAAAGGGTCTTAAAATGCTTTTACATGGACAAAGCGCACCCATTAAGTACACCAATGGTTGTTCGATCACTTGAAGTGGATAAGGATTTGTTCCGACCTCCAGAAGAGGATGAGGAACTCCTTGGTCCCGAAGTACCCTATCTCAGTGCAATTGGTGCACTAATGTATCTTGCTAATGCTACTCAAGGCCTGACATAGCATTTTTCTGTTAATTTACTAGCAAGATATAGTTCTTCTCCTACACGGATTAAGGATCCGTTCTTACCTCCAGAAGAGGATGATGAACTCCTTGGTCCTGATATACCCAAGTCTCCGCACTGTACTCTTTTTCCCTTGCAATGCGTATTACTAAATATGTGTACTCTTTTTCCTTCACTAGGATTTTTTCCCACGGGGTTTTTCCTAGTAAGGTTTTAATGAGACACATTATCTTTTAATGAACATCCAAGGGGCAGTGTTATAAATATATATATATATATATATATATATATATATATATATATATATATATATATATATATATATTCATTTAGTACTCCGTTGTAAATAAGCTTCCTGAAGAAGCTTATCATTTCGGTACTCCGTTATGGATAACTATTACCCCCGGCAAAAGATTATCTATATCTGGTACAGTAGCAGCTTACAAGCAACTTACAAGAAGCTAACACAGCAGCTTGCAGTAACAGCTTACAAGCAGCTTACACAGCAGCTTGCAGTAGCAGCTTACACAGCAGCTTGCAGTAGCAGCTTCCTTTCTTCTATAAATAGAGGAGATTTCAGTTCATTATGTACATCAGTTTGAAGTTGAATAATATCAATCTCTCTCTATATACTTGTCTTTGATTTCTTTACTTTAAAGTCTTTATTTTATAACAAATTCAAATATGTTCGTAATCAACAGCAATAAATACCGAACAACACAGCTAAAGGCAGGCTCTGATACCACATGATAAAATTTATTACATACGCAGAGCCGTCGAAGCGGAAATTAAACAAGGAACGTACCTTTAGCCATAGTTGTTCAAATGTTGTAGAGTCGCCTTGAAAAGCTGTGACGAAAAAACCTAGGAGCCTTCTAGCCTGTGCCTAGTGTAGGATGCAAGACTGATGGAGTCACATGCGTATTTATAGGTAGGCTAGGGACTCTTAGGCAAATACTTTAGCACTAGGGGCTTCTCCTTAAATTATAATTACCCTAGGGACTCATAATATATGATAATTTCTTTCCATCAAAGAAACTACCATACATGCATAACTACAGAATATTATCTGATATATTATTTCCTTTGGGAGACAAGGTAAATAATTTATTACCTTATATGTGGGACACACTAGAAGTCTCTAGAAGAAGAGACGGTAAATTCTAATAGGAATAACAAATTTTCTCCTTCTTTTCCTTTGAAAAAAATGAATAAGTTATGTACTCTTCTTTCCAATACTTTGTAAGAATGACTCGAAATGTTTAGTAAGTAAGACTTCAACTTTGAGAGAAATGATAAATTAAATTAGGGATTTCTATTATATGGTATCGAGAGAGGATAACTTCGAACATTATGAAGAGAACCTAACATCTAGTTAATTTGTTGAAAGTGACACTGAGATAATATCTAAGGTTTTTAAGTTTTCAACTATATCTCTGAAGCAATGCTATCTTACAATGTAATGTTTATAGCCGACTACCAATTATTTTTACCCTTTCAAAGAAAGAAGCAGGTGAACTGTTGATGGGTTAAATTTTAACAATTGATCCTGCTATTGTATATGTGTCCGATCAGGAATAGAGCGTTTCTTTATTAAAAAAAAAAAAGTGGATATTCATTTTTGATTACATATGTTTTTCCTTGAAATGTTAATTAATACGTTATTCCCCTTAGAGTTTATTCTAGACGTTGAACTGTCTATTCAAAAGTTTCTTCAAACGGACACTTTGTCGGATGCAATGGAGTAATGTCCGAAGATATCTAGAATCATATCGTTGTTACCTTTCTTTTATTGTACAATTGGTATTAGAAAGAATTTTTGTTATATTCAGAAGTTTCTTTGTTATATTCCCCAAATGAGAAAACAACGAAAACTAAAGAGATCTAATTACATTAATTAGCTGTACAGATATATAAGATGTCTACATCTCTATGAGTTGGATAGGGTCAAGTCGGCTGTTAAACCTTTCCATCAATATTTATGACCATTAATATCAAATACCGCCATAATTAAAATGAAGTTCTAACATTGTTAGGAAACTTAACTCAAAGTAATAATATGAAACAAGCAAATAGACAAGAATGTAGAGAGAAAGAGAGAATAGATTCTTATTTCTTCAAGTGTTTTTCCAAGTGTATACAATGTGGTGCCAAAACCCTCTATTTATAGGATTACATAGAGGTATACAAAAGAATGCCATAAACATGACATTAAACATTTTAGATCATGGAGGAAGATCATGTGGAGGTTATGGAGGTGTGGTAGTTACAACTATAATGGTGAGAAGTAGTGGGAATTATCTATATAATGGAGAAGAGTAGTGAGGGTAACTTCTTTAGGATTTATACACATCCACTAATATAATTATAATATTTCATAACACTCCCCCTTGGATGTCTATAGATAATGTGTCTCGTTAAAACCTTACTAAGAAAAAACCATGTAGGAAAAAATCTTAGCGAAGGAAAAAGAGTACACATATCTTGTAATACGCATTACTTGCTGCCTCATTAAAAACCTTGCTAGGACAACCCAATGGGATAAAATCTTAGCTAAGGAAAAAAGAGTACAACGCGTATTTGCCCCCCCCCCCCCCCGATGAAAACATCACTTTGTTTCTCGGAGACGACAAATTCCAAGCTTGTATAATAACTTCTCTAATATTGAGATCTGGAATGCCTTGTGAAGAAGTTTATCAAATTATCAATTGAACAAATTTGTTGAACAACGATCATGTTTGAAATAGAACTTTGGTGAAATATGCTTTATTTTGTCTCCATCGATATATCCTTCTTTCAATTGAGATAAACAAATATCATCGCCTTCACTATTATTGGAATCTTTTCTTCAAGGAAAAGTCACACATCTGTTGTGTGTTGAGTCACTTGCTTTATCAGTTGCTAGTATATTGACATGACTTGGATAAGTATCAACACTTGACTGCCTTTTGAAATAATAATATGGCAGTACCCTCACATACAGAACGAACTTCAGAAAATGCCTGCATTTGCATAACCAACAAAACCTTGACAATATCTGTTAGAATAAACAAATCTATATCATAGATTCCTTTTGCAATATAACACTAATCGTATTTCAATACACATAGGAGTAGAACTATATCTCGCTAGAGTATTGTTATACTTATGGTTCTAGCAAGATACATTAGTGCACCCATTGCACTAGACACAAAGACAAATCATGTACACCATGATTACTCTAATCCACATAAGGATTGCTGAAACTTCATATATTTCAGAACAATTTAAATCCTTCAAGGATTTTCATTATACGCATATCAAGTTTTTCATGTATTGCCAAATTAAAACTTGAAAAGGATTTCATCCACCATAGGAGAACATATCTTCATATAACTAATGCCGGAATATTTACGAAAAATCTTGTGCTACAAGTCCTCTTTATGTCTATCGACTTGATTTTTCATTTTACTTTCAGGTGTTGGGACTATCCGTCCAACTTCACATTTTTCAGGTGAAGTTAATTTCTTTGCATATTTTTTCATTTGGCCAATCATTTATCTGTCCAAATTCCACGGCAGATTTGAGCTAAAGATCCTCGTCAATATTAATAATATTAAGTGCTACATTATATTAACAACATCGCCGACGATCATTTTACATTGGTTCCATCATCACTCAATAAAGACATAACTTATCGAGATCTCATTATTTTCAGGTACCTGAGCCTCTCCCATGAGGTCTCATAAAGTGTTATGTCATGGTGCTTTTATAAAGCACTTGCCTCCTTAGTATGACCATCTTTATCATTTGCGCCTCTCCTTCTTCAAGGAGTTTTATTTTTGGAACCGATTAGTCTATTACGCTTCATGCGTTCCATAGACTATGTCCATCATGGACTTTATTCTATTTGGAGCATTAGCAGCTGAAATATAACATTTAGCTTTAGGTCAGCAAATGCGCCTGGCAATATTTTACAAATGAATTGAACTTCAAGTTCATATTTTTTTGTACGAGGATCTAGGTGCACTCACAATAATTCATTCCATGTTTTACTTTTTCAGCTGCCCTTTTTCTCTTCCTAATGCTGGGATCACCAAAATATTTTCCAACCTTCTTTGGGAACCCATCTTTATGCATTGTGGTGGGATAATTAAATCATATAGCATACCCATATTTCTAGATGGAAATTATTTGGTTCCTGACCTTGAACCAATTAAGATAGGGGGAATTTATCATAACTTGTTGGCTAGATGCGTACAAGTGCTGTTGTATATTAAATAATATACCTCATACCAAATTTCTATTTGGGAGTTTTATTCTCATAACCAATGGTTTAGCTCAATTGGAGGCATACAGTTTCTGCTAAACCAACTTGGATTTAAAGCAGCATTATCAAGATAAATTATCATAATTTTTATTCTGGAACTGTGCTCTAATAATTTGAGCAATCAACCTTGCCAAATTCACACTGCAAGTTGACAACAAACACACATGTGACCATACAATAGATGCATCTTTTAAAATTATATTATAGTAAACGGTCCACATGGCAGGTGACTGGGTATATATATATATATATATATATATCACTTTTTATTCGTTCCAGATTTTAAGGGATTCAATCCCAACCTTAACTGGTATATCATGAGAATAAGCAACACAAGTGATTTCTTGAAGAATCTTCTATTTCTTCAATATATGACAATGTGAATTCTCAATTAATTTTCGCATCATAATTGAAGCGGGATGGCCAACCAGTCATGCCAACTAATATTTGTTTCAGTAAACTCTAGTTTACTTGTGGCATGTGATTCCATCATCATGCTTATACTTGTGTAGTACAAATAGAAGAAAAATTGGGTAACCTTTTATATTTACCCGACATGATTATAGTAATATGAAGATATTCAATCTTTCTTTCATTTATAGTCTCAATATACCAACCACTTTGGCTAATACATTTGAAACCCAAAAAGTTTCTTTTGAGACTTACTATAATATTAATGTCAAGAACAATTTCATTAATCCGGGTAGTAACAAATTGGCTCTTCCGGAGCTCTTAATTGATTTTGTACTACAAGATCTTTTGTCATACCATTCATATGGTGAATATCTCCCACAGAGAAAATCATATCATAATAATTGTCATGGTCAAAATCATCATAAGCAAAATCATTTATTGCTTTAATTTTGCCTTTAATAACTTTTTATAAGACATGGAAAAATATTTTTGGTGTACCACATGTACCCGACCAATGACATATTCATATAACCATACAGTAATGTTCATTATCTTTCTTTCTCTCAAACCTCCCATAGAGGTGAGTTGTGGTATTTATTCAACCATGCATAAATACATTCTTATGCATAATTTAAATCAAATATATATTTTCACATTCACTTTCAGGAATGAGTCTGTATTTACAATGCTTATCACAACTCACATTGTCAAGGAATGGACTATAATCATGTGAGCATGTCTCGTATTAACAGACAACATTGATACATATTTCCTTCACCTTTGAAGAATTATTTTGAGAACCCTTATTGTTCTCCTTTTTACATTTACCATAATGATGACTATTATTATTTTGGTCTTTGGCACGCCCACGTTCATTGGTCAACCACTTGTCTTCATTTAGACTTTTTATGCACCGCTATCACATTCACTTCAAGAATGGAGCAAATTAAGTGGGACAAGCTTCATGCTCTTTCATGAAAAATACATTATTTTTCATTAGTCATCATGATATCATCAATATAGTGCATTGGGACTCAAACTCAATGCCTTACCCAAATAAAGGCGTGTAAGACTATAATGCGCTGGGACTCA